GCCCCATGGCAGTCCCTTCTGTTACACAACACGTGTTGGCCCCGCTTTTTTCTACCAGCAAGCCTTGAGAAACATGAACATGTTGGCATTCAACGACATGTAGAAGAACATGAAAGTTTGGAGCTAATTTGCCACGCCAATGTTTTCCATAAGAAGTTCAAAAGGGACATGGCAGCACTCAAACATACTACGAACAACTTATGGAGCTTTGGACCTGCGGCGACATGTGGAGGGAGGCCACCAGGTGTGTGAATTACAAGTATGCTCACATAAAGGACAAATAGAGGTGTAAGACTGAGGTTAGTAGACATGACGCTGCTGGTCGATGGTGGTTCTCACTGGCTTGATGTGGAGCAAGCGCACCTGCGGTTTGTGAAGCAGCCGTCAGACCCTGATGCACATATGCCGTCCTTACGCCGGCTGGTGCGGCCAACAGATTGGGAATCTTGGGAGTTAGGCATATTTGAAAGGCATATTTGAAACACTGTCTGCATTGTTGTACCAGTACAGTCCGAAAAGGCTTGTACGCCCAAAGTAGCCTTGCTTCAAAGAAGGAATCCGTTCGGAGCCAGCTGGGGGCCTTCATGCGACAAACCAGCGACGCTAGTGAGGAGAGGGGCAGCTTTCACATGAAGCTGCGCATGATGGACAATTCCAAAAGGACATCATTGGGTGCGTTTTTCACATTTTTACAGGTAAAAAATAGCAGAAATCCAAAACAATCCGAAATCTAGAAGCTGTAAAGCACAACCTGAGGACAGTGGTGGCGCACGATGTTGAGGTCTCGGCTTTCTACCCGCCATGTCCCGAGGAGGGCGATCCAGGTGAAATTGATATGAAGATTTGCTTACAGGTCGCTGGGTTCAGTCGCAATAAGTAGTCTGTGGTTGTCATGATTTACTTTTTAGGAGAGGCCAGCCCAAAAACTTGGCAAATTGTTGCGTGATTATTGAATCACAGCTGAGTTTAGCAACTTTGCCTTTGATGACGCCAAGAAGAAGAAGACCCAGCCAAGTCTTGCGGGCATCACGGAGTTCGATCTCAATGACTCCGTGGAATGAGCACATTTTAAGACGTTTCAAGCTTTGTCTCAGAATTGGGGTCAGAATTCTAATATGTAGGGTCCTTATTTCAGGTCCCCCATTTTGAGACATGCCAATGTACATAAATGATTATCAAGAGGTTGTATTGTGGAGGAAGGAAAGGCGAATGTTCTCTGATGGAGCAATCCTCCAATCGCGAAGGCTGCTCCTAATTTCTCGTGCTCCAAATGAGCCATAGTCCAAACTCCGTAAAGAGCGGTCATGTAGGATTTAATGTAGGCATAGGGGATGATTATAGGGCTATAAAGGGGATACCTGGAGTTTAGACTATAGCTCACATCTGTGGGCTGTTGTTTCCTTGCCTGTTTCACCTTGGCCCGGTGACAGTCTCACGTCTCTTAGCAGTGCGGATGGCCAACGAATCCACTTCATCTGCTTACTTGGAGGCTTGAGGCATTCGTAGATGGTGTAGTTGGGGCACTTCCACATTTAGCAAAGGAAGTGGTTACAAGTGGGGTTGTTAGCAGGACAGCGTTTGTAGGGAGGATGGTTGCATTTTCAATACATTTTGGGATGCTTGTCACTGCCCGAAGTACTGCCCACAGGACCGAGCTCGGTGCGGAGAATGTTCACCATGTCTTCATCCATGGTGACCTTCACCATGACACCTTAGTGGCAGCCACCTGGACTTCATTTTTTTACATTTAGGATTGTTTTCTTCCTAACACAGATTCACGGAAGCATTTGCAGAAGTACCTAACAAGATCTCCTGATTTTTTGTATGGTGCTCGAAAATTGGACTCCAACGCAATCAAAACCCAGTCTATTCTTCAAGCCCTAATGGTATCCCCTGCGCTTGTTGCCGGCCTGCCCCTTGGCGCGCGAGGTGGTTGATGCAGACCCGAAAGCCTCGGATGCTCGGGTGGTTTCAGGACGCAGGATATCAAAAAACGGCCGAGGCTTTTGTTGGGGCTTCCAGGTTTGAGATATTTCAGCAGTGTTTGGAGTTGGCTATGCCAAGGGCAGTGAGGTTCTGACCGGGAGGAATCGCCTTATGTGCTCGTGTTGAAGGCCCTAGCCAAGGCCTCAGGGGTTGATGTTATGCACAGGCACTGGAGCTTACATACCAATCCTTCCCGTGCCTTTGCATGCGAGGCATGCGTATTGTTTGCTGGCATCAGCTCCGGAGCAGCACATGCGTTGTTTGACTTTGAGATGGCAGCTGTGGAGGCGAGCAGTCTTGCAAGCATGTGGCCAAGCGCGTCCAAACGGACGTTTTGCATCTCACGCTTTTCAACATCCACATTGATGTCAACGGTAGTACAGTAGGCTCTGAAAACAGCCCTTGAGCCTTCCAAACCATACCTTGAACTTCCCATTTTATCCTTGCAACTTCCCCACACATTGGCACCCTTACAACTTTCCTGCACCTGGAAGCAAGGATCCGCAGCACATGCTGCAGAAGCTGCAGACACGAACATCGGCACCGCTGTGCGCGGTGCAACGCGTCTTGCATGCCCAGGGCCTGACAAAAAGCTTTTCTGGGTCTTGACAAGATCTACAGTCAAGTGTAAGCCGCGAGAGAAAGCTTGGATCTTGATTGAAACACATTGATGTCCCCTTCTTACTGCCTGAACTGTCTTTTGACGGAAATTAAACATAAGTTCATTTCCTGACTTCTCTTACCCTGTCTTCTTTCAAGGGTGAGCCAGGGTGTGTGAGCGTGAGTTGTGAATTCAGGCAGATTGTCAAGGCGCCGCGTTCTTGTTAAACACTTTCCTTGAATGCCTTGCAAATGTCTGAGCTTCGGCCGCAACTCGTGAAGGATACCATTCACCCTTCTCTGAAGATAGTCAGAACAGTCCCGGCATGCTTGCAAATCCACCTGCGTAAAAATACTTTGCAACCGAAAGCTGTGCCTGACACAGGTGCTGCTGGCCAAGCAACCATTCTCTCAAGCTGCCGGCACGTTGAACGGTACAGGAACCGGGTCTGTGTTAGCCAGCAAAATTATGATGCATCATACGCTACAGCAACACAGCACAGCATGCTTGATGAGAACGTCGCCTATGTCGCGGTTTTGTGCATGCAATGTTATTAAGAATTAGCACGGTCTATTACGTGAGTTGCTGTTTGCTGATACATCCGGGTAGTGCGGTTTTAAAGCCCTCTGTGGAGCCAAGGGCCAGTCTTGTGCCTGAGTCAGCCAGGGGTGCACCGTCTCACGCGCTTCCCAGCTTGGGTCTAGAGCTGGACTTTGTTGACACAGCGCTAGGGCTGTGGAGAAGTCTGCTTATGCTACATTGCTGAAACCGGTGCAAACCGCACTCAAGCCCGCGACAGTGACGGTAGCCCAAGCGCACGCAGAAGAGCGTCTTTTTGCGGCCGGATCCAACTCAACCGTTACTCCACTTTAGACACGTGTAAACTAATGTAAACATAGCTCCTATTGAGCTCCTGAGCTATCCAACAAACTGCCAAATGGTAGAGACTGCCGAAAGTGCATTATTTCAAGCCAATGTGTGGGGGATGCGTGTCTGATCTGCGCTAGGGAAGCTGGACAGAAAATGCCTGCTATCCATCTACGGCGCGGAGATTGAGGAAGAGCTGCAGAGGTGCAGTTGGTCTGATCTTGAAGACTTTTCAAACCAGTTTCATTCCCAGGCACCAGTTGAAGGGGAAAAGATCACCCTCTAGTGCCCATTCAGCCTTGCAGCCTCCTCCTGGACAAGACATGTTCCAGCAGCCCTGGGCTGTAGCTCCTCCCCCAGTGTGGGAAACCTATAGGCAACGATCATGTACCCCAACCATCATTCGCTACAGCTACTACAGGTCCTTAACAGGGGGTCATTCTTCCAACTTGTACGATGACTGCTATTATAAATGCACTATCACTACGATGACAAGGATGACGACCACCATCATCGGCGGCAGCGGCGGAAGCGGCAGCAGCGGCAGCAGTACCTCCGCAGCCACCGCCATGGCCAACGGCCACAGCAACGGCCATGGCCACAGCACGACGAACATATGCAAGCTCAGGAACATGGTTAGTTGGGTGTTCCAATGCCTGGGTCTATCAGGAGCGCCGCAGCCTTCGCCCACGCCTCGCTGGAGAAGATGGATGCAGCCCAAAGCTTTAAGAAGCTCCCTGGCTACACAGGTCCTTACAGATCCTGCAGGTCTCCAGAAACATTTATTGGCTTCAACTGGCTGAAGCAATTCGGTGCAGGGTATGAGTGTGGCTCAACAACATCTGTCCTCTTTCCTCGGTCATCCAGAGAAGATTCCGGTCTAGGGCTGCCAGAAACCAGGGAGAGCTCCATTACGAGCGCACATGCAGGTGAGAGGATCGTTTCCGCCTCGGGACATGGGGGTGTTGACATCTGAATTTTTTTGACCGGTAGCTTGCCCTTCTAGGGCATTTGCTGGGATTGGGTGGCAGCTGTGGCATCAGGATGAACGGTTGAGGATTGTTAGTGCTCAGGGATATTGGTTTGAGTAAGTAGTTTGAGTTCGGGTGCAAGTTCTGGGTTCGGCCGGGCTATGACTTCGATTTCTGCACTGCAAGCTGGCAGACAAAAGCTACAAGTAAATGACGTGACGGCCTGACCACCAAATATCCACAAACTCCGCTCCAGCTTGCCCAGAGACCAGCAGCCTACAACCAAATCCCAGGCCTCAACCTAAACTGGGTTGCTGTCAAGGAACTTCATTTAACTTACTATATTGGGGAAACCCTATTATTTACTATATAACCCATTATGGTAACTTAGCTTAAGTTCCTTAACAGCATCCCAGTAAAGCCGGGTTCTTCTACCCAGGCAGGGGGGCACCTCACTGCAGGCAGCGCGGATTGACTCTGGGACGGACACAGATGTTTTTTGCTGGTGTAGGTGTATGTTGATAGAGTGAAATGGTCTTATAACCTTTAGTCGTGACTAGCGACTAGCAAGCATGGGAAAATCCTGTGTTTTCCTCAAGCCATCCGACAGGATGTCTATACCATGCACTGTCCATGGTAACTGACAAAAGTCCAACTAGGTGCTGCGTAAGTTGCTGTGTAGCCGATTTGTGAAAGAAAAGCATGAAACTTAATTCTCATACTCTAGCCTGCCCAGCTCCCGTCTATACATGCTCTAGACATTCTCTTCCTCTTGAGCGCACACCGAGGCAGGACTCTACTTGGAATTGGGCGTTCCCATGAGCCGGGTTGTGGAGCTGCCCCTTGGGCAGAAGCATGACTAAGACACTTTGGGAACAGGGTGCTGCGAAGAAATTCTTTCAACGGCTGCGTCTGGTTCTACACGACGCCTGTAGGACAAATGAAGAATTTTACGCAACATATGTGTCAGCATGATGTCTTGAGAGTCAGGTCTTGTGTAGACGGGAGTTGAGTCTTCAAGGCGTACACAAGATTCCTGATACAAGTGCCATTCACCGCTGAAGCAGGTCTCGCCATTTCACTTTATCATATGCGCATGATTCACGTCTTCGTGCGGAGTGCAGTTCTGCAATTCCATAGGTTTTTTCTTGCGCATGTTGTTGTTGTTGTTGTTGCAGGTAGTTGGTTTGGTTACAATGTAGGGGTCCCATCGCATCCTTGAATACTGGAAGCTTTCTTCTGGCAAGCCTTCCGCTTGCAACACCTAGATCTGAGACACCCTTGATGTGAGCCTTTGCTGGCAGGCTTCTCTCAGACCAGCCAGTGGCAACGGTGAAGTCTCAGCTTGAAGAGGCTCTGGGCTTGCGACCATGACCTTGCACACAAGCATATGGGGGTTTTCCATAAATTGTTGCCAGTACTTTGGGGTGTAGTGGGGGGACACCATTATGGGAAATTTGCACTTAGCTTTTGGAACAAGATTGAGGTGGACGCCCTGGCAGATTCTCGGTTGGAGCTGCCGAAGCCGCAGGCCAACCTTGAAATCAGAGCTGTCAATGGGATGTTCAAGGTGTTAGGGGTTTCTTTACCTGGTGCATTGACTCTCCGGCCTTGTGCACATGTGGAGAAATCCCCAAGTCAAATTGAGAGCCTACAGTGGACAGGATAGGGGGCAGAAGGCCGCTGACCACAGGTAACAAGTCACCATGTGGCCATGTCATCGGAGTGTGTGCCTGAAATTGACAACGCCGTCTTGCTCTTTTGCTGGGTGGAGTCTACTGATGGCAAAGACTCGTAGATACTGCCTGGTGTTTACACCTTAGGCGGCTCTTTCAAGAGTTCGTAGGGGTATAATATAGGAGATATATAGGGATAATGGAAAAATAAATGGACTCTACTGGTTAGGGTTCAGGGTATTTAGTTCCTGAATCTTCATGACTTCTTTTTCTGCAGGCGCAGCAGCTGCAGGGCGGAGAGTACACGCTGCTCACAGGTGACCCTTCAGGAGTTTGACGACCCCAGCAATGTAGTTGAGGGGTTCCGTTTCAGTTTGCGCGTGTGGCTTGAAGTCAGAAACTGAACTTCTGCATTTGTGGGGGTGCAAGGCGATCAGGCAGTTCTGAGTGCTTCGATCTCCGAGGCTTCAGCCAGAACGAGCTCTCCAAATGCAAAGTTAAAACACGCAAGGTGATCACCGCTTAACCTACAAACCATGCCAGGTGCCACGGGCCTTGTAGGCCGCTTTGTCCTCGCCGAACTGCTACAGCGCCAGCCGCACGTCTGACATCTTCTTGAGTGATTTTGAATATTAAGGTTCCCTTGTAGCGTCAACGTCGGTGGGTCGCTCACAAAGGCTTGGGGATGGCTTGGAGGTGTCAATGGGGTGGTCGTCAAAATTAAGATAAGTTTTTCGCATTTGAAGGGTGAAGGCTGCTGGGTCGAGGGCAGTACTACATGGGTTTTCCACGCGGCGCTTGACTTTGTTATTTTTTGCTTCTGTTGCACAACGAGGTCCTGAGCAGACTAGTCTGCCAACTGTAGTCCAGGATAAGTGTAATGTTTGCAGGTCACGCTTCTGGATACACAGTCTGCGCTTCAGGACTTGGTGCAGCAAAAAGGTTATCGTAATACTTGAACTCGCAGTATTGATAGCCCCGGTGGTCCCATCATGTGCCTATGACATGATACCCGCCTCTCATTCGGGGTTGGAAGACAGCTTGGACAAAGTAAGAAGTAGCAAGACTAATTACAGACTGCCGTTTCGGTTTGTCTTTCCGATTTGGGTTCCTGTTTTTATACGATAGCATCGTAGAGTCCTTCCTATCAGGATGCTCAAAGAGCCATGCTGAGGTAGCCACATGATGTGTAGTATAAACTTCTTAAAGGGGGCTATGGGGGAGCATTACAGGAGATATTAAGGGGGATAGTAGGAGTTTAGACTATAGCTCGTATATTCAGTCGTGTGATTGCCATACAAGGCATCCACCATGGGAATCTGCGAGAGACTATGCCTGCAAATTGCCTGCTGGTCGAACTCTTTGCCGTGCCTGACTCTACGTACCCCAGCATGTGTAGGGGGGCCTGGCAAGATAGCCCACAGTAGGCAGAAATGTCTGGGACACCAGGGAATGTGTCGAGGCAGCCGGTGCTTTGCCTTGTACGAGCGGGCTCAGCATCTTAGCTTACATTTCAAATCGACTTAGAATTCAGAAGATCCATCTGGAACAAATATGAGCAGTTGGCTTTCGGGTTCTATGGAGTCCATGGAGTAGTGGAATGCGTCCAGTGATCCTTTTGCTTCAGCCCTAAATAAACCTCCCATCCAGAATGTGTGGGGCATCTCATCTACTAGGTGCATAAGGACTGCATTCTCATTCATTGAGGGTCAGCCTCAAGACTTTCCCCTAAGATCGAATGATCTTGCAGGGTTCAAAGGGGACCTTGTTTGGATTGAGCTGTACCATTGACTTGGAAAGTCAAAGCTCCGAGGAGCATCAGGGCAGACAGCGTCTGGCACAAGCCTTGGCGCAATGCGGCCGCTATCGCCCCGAGTGGTGGGCAGCTCCGAAGGGATCTAAGGTTTGGGTTTCAAGGACACTTTAGGATACTTTAGGGCTGTGTTTGAGAGTTCTGTCAAAAGCCGAGCATGACTGGGGCTAGTATTTGGCAAAGATCACAGCGCATAACAGCGCAAAGTCAGAAGCTCTCTATACTGTAGCATCACTCTCTGCACATCCTAGCTTCGTGGCCTCAAGATCCTGCACCCCGAGTGGCGGGGGGCCATCACAAACTTTCTTGCACCGCAAATCAAGATGGCACCCTGCAGAAAAACAGCTCGTAGCCTAGGTGGCCCCGCCTTGTTGTGTCCACTGCCACGTTGGCCAAGCAGCCGGGCTCAAAGTTCCGAAGCCAGGTATCCAGTTTTTCGTGATTAAGACGGAAGAAGTAGTAGTAGGAGGAGGCGGTACACTACCAGCCACTAACACTAACCACTAATATCACTACCACTACCACTACCACTACCACTCCACTACCACCACGACCACCACGACCACCACGACCACCACAACCACCACGACCACCACCACGACCACCACCACGACCACCACCACCACCACGACAACGACTACGACCACCACTGAAGAGCCAACAATCACCACGG